GACAAGCAGAGCTCTCCCTTCCAACGGACTCGGGCAGATACATTAAAAGCTGTAGCTGCCTGCATTTCTAAACCACCCAAAGTAGCATGTATCTAACTCACAGTTCATCCCGGAACAAAGTATTTTAGTAGAGCCTAAACCCACTCACCATGCCGTCATTAAATACCACATATTCCATTTAAACCCATTGATTCATCCTTCCACCTCCGGGCATGCCAACAGATGAACAAGTCATACATTTGGTCTTTCCATTAATGAACAAAATGTCAAGTCTTTTCCTAAATTTTGGGACTTTTTCTTTTAACTGCACACACACACAAGGTGTTTTTAATGTCAAAAGAGTGACACGGGTTGTTCTGGTTTGGTCGTTTTCCTTCTGAATGTGTATTCGTTAAGTTTTCAAAACAAAACCCATAAACATGTTATATTCAAGTCATGACACTTACCATTACTCACAGTTTAACAGACACAGAGCAATTTCCAGATGATCAGCATTCATTTCAGCTCAAACTACACATACTGTTAATCCAAGGGAATCCAATAATGGTTTTTTTAATAGCATGCTGCAACATGAAGGATTGTAGTTTACACTCTAAACCTTGTATTCCAGGACTGTAATCATGACCCACTAACCCACTTATAACAGAGGTTAAAGAAAGGTACATCAGACACGGCAGTTATACTCCTGTCATTGACACAACTTGTGCAACTATCCAAGATATAAAAACTTCAAGTCAAAAACTATTTCTCATGAATTTTACACAGCTGAATGACTTCAGCAAAAGCCCTGGCAAGCTCTGATGACAGACCTGCCTTCAGCCTATTTCCAGAGAAACCACAGCACTGCAGCATCCCTCCTCAATGAAGAGCCCTCCTGCAGTTTGTAGTGAAGCAGCAGCTCAGTAGTGAGCCTAACATGCCCCAACCAGCATACTTCACTTGTTAGACAGACTGGCTGAATTGTTCTAGCTCTCAAGATAATCTAAAAGATTTGAGAAAGTTGAAAACCAAAGATTTATAAAGGGAAAAACCCCAGAACGTGAGCTTTATCAGTGGGAATGCCATTTGAGATCATACTACTTCACGCAATATATATACACACACATATATATGTACACACACATTTCTACAATATGTATACTTTTTTTACATGCATACTTTCTTTCCAGCAGCCACTACAGGCAGGCAGTATTAACACAGCCTTTGGTTCTTAGCTGAGCATAAAACAGCCACAAACAAAAAAAACTGAACAGGAATATCACTAGAATAGACAGTACATGCACTAAGCAACCCCTCAGCACTCCTGCCTCACCACGATTCACTCTTTGAATAGGACAGCAGAGGACATGAACAGAATACGAAGCCCTACCCAGACTGCTCAAAACCAAGAAGCCATGTCTCCCACAATCCTGACAAAATAAGGAGACAGCCTTGCTGAAGAGCCTGATGTATGTTTATATTTCTGCCATAAAATGTTACTTATACATCATCTTACTGTCAACACTTAGGAAAAGAAATCCCTACAGGACCTGTGTTATCCCCCAGATCAAAACCCGTATTACCTAATGTATTCAGGATGAGAACTGTACAACTCCAACCTGCCCTCTCCATTCTTTACAACTTTGCTTCCAGCTGCTGAGCAACAGCCACTCCAGCCTCTACGTAACGCACGATCCCCATTACGCTACAAGCAGTCGCAGCACGTACCCATGATCAGGCAGGAAACCAGGCTGGGTGCGTAGGCACCGAACTCACATTGCCCGAGGTCTTCCTCCTCCAGCCCCACGTACAAACTTCCTACCAGCACAAAGCGATTTAGCCGCAGGCAAGCACCGCTAAAACAGTGCTTCCCAGTATTAGTTCCATCAAAACATTCAAGATTAATTTTAATGATCTTTGCAAGATCTATAGTGGGAATGCAGAAAGATACCCTCGTGGAGGCTAGCCTGCAGATCCCCATTAATTCTTGCTTCGGACATACTGGGAGTCAGCTTCATGCTGACACACTAAACAGCATGCCTTAAAGAGCAGAAGCCGTGTGCTAGTGGGATTAGCAATTAACAGGAGAGAAAGATCCCTTATTTCATGTGAGGTGACCTGGTCTGTGAGCTCCTTCCAGCAGTCCCAGTCCCTCAGAAGCAAATGGTTTCCCTCAGCATCAATAAAAGGGGGAAAAGTCTGAGCAACTTGAGCTTTGTTGCTTATATTACCAAAACCAAATAAATTGCCCCTCTACAATGGCCCCCCTCTGTCTCTGCCAGCATCCCTTCCGTGTCCCCCTCTCCACCTGTTCACTCAGGCATGCGATGGCATGGGGTGTTTTTGTAAACGGGCTCTCACCACAGCTAATACACAGTCATTTCTTTTGCCTAGCTCCAAGAGGAGAAAAATCCAACTTGTCAGAGGAGCATCTGCATCGAGAACTGCTTTTGCTGATGGGATCGGGGAAAGCAGGAGAAATGGTCGCGTACCAGTTCATTACCCTTGCATGCATCACCCACAGGCATCCCCCTCCCGCCATCCCCCCAGATGAGATACCGGATGCAATAAAGAAATTAAAGAAATAGAATAAACCCCCAAGCAGAATTTGAGAACAAATGTGCTTTGAACACTACACAAATGACATTGAAGATACAGAAAGAAATATGTAATTGCTATAGCACTGCATGATTTCATGGGCTTATTTCCTAGGTACCCATTCCACATACCCTTCCCACAAAGATCCCCTTCCCTCCACCCCCTCGGCTTCTTTAATAAAAAATAAAAACCCTGCAATCTTTGATCCTTGAGGATTATTTTTAAAGCCACAAAACCCAACCAACCCCATCTGCAGCCTCTTCCCTCCAGTCTAGCCCATCTATGGGGTGGAGGGGTGCATCCACAACCCAGAGACCTCCCTTTGCCCTCCACCCCCCCCACACTTCACACCCCTTCCACCTCACTATGCTGCATCCCATCTCAGAGGACACTGGGCAAAGCCGGGTCTTTACAGCTGTCCTCACAACACCCCTTTCAGACAGACCAACATCTCTGTGGAAGTGTTTGCATCTACAGGCTTTCATCCTGGAGAATCCCTCCCTGCCTCCTCCCACATCCCATTTTTGGGGGAGGATAACGCAATTTCCAATTTACTCTGAAGGATGCTGTTTTATTCCCACTGATCACGGGGTCAGTTCCCAGTCCCTTCCTCCAGGCACCATCTCCTCCCAGAGGGGAACAATCCCTGTCTCTGACCTTCATCCTCAGACCGGCACCCCCACCGCCGTGCCCGCTCCCCCGCCGCCCGGCCGCGGAGGTTTCTTCTCTCGCCAAAGCCACAGCCGAGGCATCACGCTGCATTTTTCCACTCCCACAGCCCGCTCCTTCGATGCGGGGGGAGCAACGAGCAGGGGGCTCCCCCATCGCCCTGTGGGGAGAGGTTCTTGGAGACGGATGTGACCCTCACCCCCTTGTCATCTACCGGGGGGGGGGGACGGACACACAATCCATGCAGGAGGACACCAGCCCTCTGGAAACAGCATATCCCAGCGCTCGGCAGCGGGGGTCTGCCATCCGCCCTTCTGCAGGCCCTCCCTGGAGCAGCCCCCCACTTGCTGTGGGGCCTTTCTCTTGCCCGCCACCCCCCCTACAGAAAGGGAGCAGTGGGGCAAGCCCTCCCCAGGGCCACGGGACCTCCCTCTGCAGCGCTGCTGCCATGAGAGGGTCACCCCCAGCCCCAGGCCTGCCTTCACGCTGTCACCCCGGGGGTGTCATCTCCACCACCTCCTGTCAGGAAGAGCAGCTCCATCCCCCCCACTCCCCATCCTGCCCCATGTCTGTGGGGCAGCAAGAGTGCAGTCCATCCCTTGAAGCACCACGGAGCCAGAGCTCCTTACATCCCCCGTGCTGGGAGGGGGGGACATCACCCTGTGTCTCCTCGAGGCTGTAAGGGGACAGCAGCCCCCACTCCCCTCGCCCCAGCCCCACATGCTCATTGGGGGGGCACCTCTCCTCCGTGGAGCAGGGCTCACCCCACATCTCCACATGGCAGGCACTGACCCACGCCCTGCTTAGACCAACAGACCCCACTCCTCTCAGCTCAGCCCCACAGACACCTTTTAGGAGAGCTTCTCTCCCCCTTGGGTATCCCCTCAGCACAAGGGGGGGCTGTCACACCCCCTCCACCTGGGGGAGCACTGACCCACGTCCACCCTGGACCATGAGGTGACAACAACCCCCATGTCCCCCACCTCAGCTCCCCCCAGGCTCATTCTGTAGGAATCTCTTCTCCCTTTGGGTGTCTCCTCACCCAAAGCATGAGTAACCCCTAAACCTCTCCTCCTTCTCCCTGCGAGGGTCACCACACTGACCATGACCACCTCAGACCGCGACGTGAAACTGACCCATGTCCATTTCAGCCCAGGAGCTGACAGCGACCCTCATCTGCCCCACCTCAGCCAGGGGACAATAAGCCACCTCTGCTTCAAGCCATGACGCGATGCTGACCCACGTCCACCTCGCACCACTAGGTGATGTTGACCCACATCCAACTCAGACCGTGAGGTGACAGTGATGCCCATCCACCTCATCTCAGCTAGGGGAGGACAGTGAGGTGACACTGACCCACATCCAGCTCAGACCATGAAATGACAATGACCCCCATCGGCCCCACTCCAGCCAGGGGACAACAATCCCACCTCAAACCACGAGGTAACACTGACCCACGTCCACCTTGGCCCGTGAGGTGACAATGACACACGTCCACCTCGGACCATGAAGTGACAGCTTCCACCATCTGCTCCACCTCAGCCAGAACACAGCGACCTACCTCAAGCCATGAGGTGACACTGACCCGCGTCCACCTCAGACCGCGAGCTGACAACGACCCCCAACTGCCCCACCTCAGCCAGCGGAGAGCGACCCGCTCTCGGGGCCCGCCGCCCCACCGCCATGTCGGGCAACGAGCTGCCGGCCACCCCTGTCTCCCCGCCCGGCCCGGGGGTACCCGTCCGCCCCCTTACCTCCAGACCTGCCCCATCTGCAGCAGGTGGATGACGGACTGCCAGACCCAGACGGAGATCCTGCAGAGGCGCTGCGCCCCGGGGGTGGTGGTGCCGGCGGCTCCTCCTACCCCGCCGGCGGGTCCCCCCCGGCGGCCGGCGGCCCCCATCATGGGCGGCCCGCGGCTGCTGAGGCCCTGCACGGCGCCCAGCCCGCCGCCCGTGAAGTCCTGCACGAACCAGCGGAAGCTGAGGATCTGCACCAGCACCGAGGGCAGCAGCACGAAGGCCAGCGTCAGGCCGCACCAGACGTAGTCCCGCCGGCCGTAGTGGTGCAGCGCCAGCCACAGGTCCGTGCCCACGTCCCCCAGCAGCACCAGCAGCGCCAGCACGATCCACAGGCAGTCCAGCCACGGCCGCTCGGCCGCCTCGCCGACCTCCGGCGCCCGCGGCGGCCCCTCGGCGGCGGGGCGCGGGGCCAGCGGCTCGGCGGCGGCGGCGGCGGGCGCCCGCCCGAAGAGGCTCCGCAGGCAGGCGCTCCGGCAGCCCCAGTAGCACGACGACGTGTTGCAGCAGTGGCAGATGTGCAAGGAGCTGCTGCCGCCCGGCTCCTCCGCGCCCTCGGCCGCCGCTGCCCCGACGCCGCCGGCGCCGCAGACGCCCGCCGCTGCCGCCGCCGCCGCCGCCTCGTCCAGGTTGTGCAGCTGGGCGAAGCCCACGCCGCCGCCGCCGCCATCCGACTTGGCCGCCATCTTGCTGCCGCCGCCGCGTCTCCGGCCCCTTCGCCGGGCGCGCTCGCTCGCTCTGCCCCCCCCGTCCCCGCTCCCGGCACCCCCCCACCCGCCACCCGCCCGCCTGCCTGCCCGCCCGCCGCTTCCGGGGGCGGTGCTTCCGCGCCCGCGCAGGACGGGCCGGCCCGGGCCGCCTAGCGACCGAGCGGGGCAGCGCCGCGCCGCGCCGGGCCGGGCCGGCCGGGGACACACGGGCCGGCCGCTGCAAAGAAGCGGACCCCGGTGCTGCCCCGGCACCTGCCGGCCCCGCGCTCGGTGCTGCTCTCTGCCGGCATCCCGTGCACACCGGCACCCGGAGCTGCCCTCCTCCCCGCTCCCATTGCACCGGCACGCAGCGCTGACCGCTGCCCGTTCCCATTGCACCAGTTCCAACCGCACTAGCACTCGCTGGTGTCCTCTGCCCATTCCCGTTGCAGCACCGGCACGCAGCGCTGCCTGCTGCCCATTCCCATTGCACCAGTTCCAATTGCACCAGCACCCACTGCTGTTCTCTGCCCTGTTCCCATTGCACCGATTCCCATTGGTCTAGCACCTGCTGCTGTCCTCCACCTTGCTCCCGTTACATCAACCTAGCACTGCCCACTGCCCTATTCCCATTGCAGCAGCACCCACTGCTGCTCTCCACACTGCTCCCATTGTACTGGTACCCACCACTGCCCCCTGGCCCATTCACATTGCACTGGCACCCACTGCTGTCCTCTGCCCATTCCCATTCCACCAGTTGCTATTGCACTGGCACTCACTGCTGACCACTGCCCTATTCCCGTTGTATCAGCACCCACTGCTCTCTGTCTGCCCTGTTTCCATTGCACCAGTTCCCATTTTTCTGACAGCCACTCCTGACTTCCACTCCGCTACTCTGCTCCCGTTGCACCGGCATCCACTGCTGCTCTCTGCTCCATTCTCATTGCATCAGTTCCCCTTAAACTGGCTCCCACTGCTGCCCTCTGCCAATTCCCATTGCGCTGGCACCCGCTGCCCTATTCCCATTGCACCAACACCCGCTGCTTTTCTCCCTGTGCCTCTGTGTTAGTACACACACGATCGATTGTGTATCTTGCTCTAACGTCTGTGCACTGACACCAGCATTCCCCATGCCATCCTCAGCTGGACCCCCTTCTTCTGACCCCATCCCACTCCCAAATCAGCTCCCCAGTCCAGTATCCTTGTCCTGCAGCGCAACCTCCCTGTTCCCGTCATCACTGCTCCCCCTCAAATACCAAACTCTTTGCCATCCAGGTTGTCCTCAGCCCACCCTCAGCCAGGCGGCCACCCCCTTTCCACCTCCAGCAGTTCCCTGGTACCCACCACGTCCAGGTCCTCCTATGAGTTTCTCTTTGCCTTTTCCCCTCCTATGGCTCTGCTGGGAGGGGGGTCTCCTGTCCCACCCTCATCCCATGGGTCCCCCATTGCATAGCAGCAGTGTCCAAGCCCACCTCAGCACCTCCCAAATCCCCCACAGTCCTGTCCCTCTCCTAACACAAGGATCCCCCATCCTCTGTCCTCTCCACTTGTCTCTTCCTTACCCACATGGGGGGACACTGCAGGATCCCCCATTTGCTGTCCTCTCCACTTGTCTCTTCCTTACTCATACTGAGGGACACTGCATCACTCATCTCCAGCTCCTTGCTGTAGGAGTCAAACCTCTGCCAAGCTGAGGAAGCTCTGCTTTTGGGATCTGCCTGGGGCTGAGCTGCACCCTGGGCAGGTGTTTCACCGAAGGACCCACTGGCAGGCTCAGGAAGCCTAATTCTAGGTCCTCCCCCACCACCACCCCCCCAACTTCCCTTTCTACCCATTCACATTAGTTCATTCATCATACCCATCTTTCCTGTGTTGTCTTGTGCTGTCCTCTGTAGGTTACAATATTCCCTCTTTTCTCTTTGTTTCCCCCCTCATTATAAGTGTGCTCCTTCCCTATACTCCTTCTCCAGCTGTTGCTTCTTCCTCTTTCTGTAGGAATTTGAATTCTTTTTTCTTTTTTTTAATATTTATTTTTATTTTTGTTTGTTTGTTTTAAACTGTGGCAGAATACCAGGGGTGATAGGTTCAGGGCTCTAGAACTTGCTGCCAAAGTTGCTGCTTTGCAGAATCTAACTTCTAACAGGGAGGAAAATTAAATCAAGCAGGTGTAAAGATGCACAAGTGCAGATAAAACGCTTTTTCCAGGGAGGGAAAATGAATTTAATCTTCATAAGAGTGGGAGGACTTGCATATATTAAATCAGCTGTCTGGGAAGCGTGTATTTGGCCTTTCTGAGGGATAGCAAAAGAGCTCAAAAGTCTGCAAAGTCTGAAAGACGTTGCTGGGTTTGAAACGGTTGGATCTTCCTATAGCGGAGAAACAGGAGAAAGGAAACAGAAAGCAAAGCTCTGTGCATTGTCCAGATGAATGCGCCCTAATGCGCGCCAGTATGTGGCCAAATAGAAGTCATTTGTAGTGCCTGAAACTCCGGCACAAAGTTCTTCAAAAGGAGAAAACTGGTATTGTGGATATAATAGGATTGCAGAGGACGTAATCCCACCAGTCCCCATGATACTGAATTCCCCCGATTAGTCCCTTGTTTTCTGCCAACTTAAGCTATGGCAAGAAATATGAATATGGAAATAAACGCCAGCCCTCAACTTGATCAAAATGAATTCATGAACATAAGGCATGTATAATAATGCATATCTAATATAAAAATCCTCCTGTTTGACACTTTAAAACCTGAGTGGTAAATATGTATGTTAATTCTCACAGCAGTAAGAAATAAGGTCTCTGGGACCCATATTCTTGGGTAAGAGGTACCTGTACTAAGCTTAAAGTTCTGGTTTGCGGTACAGTGAGATATAAATGGAAGCATTCCTCATTTCTTCAAACTTTCCTATGTAGCAAATTTGCTGCATATGATTTGAAATGGGAAAAAAAAAAAAAACCAACAAACCCAAAACAGCACAGAAGTAATGTAACTATTTGGTCTTCTTATTTAAATACAAGTGTAGGTGCACATTGCACTTCATGAACCAATAATGGGGCAGAAGAGTCATCTGTTTCGATACAAAAACAACCCAAACTTCTGTGATGAGACATATGGGTGGGAGAAGACAGCAGTTAAGGATTTTAGCGTTGGCACACTGAGAAAAACAGTTCCTTGGGCAATATATGACATGATACAATACACTTTTGAGACCCCCTCCGAAATTCTCAGTGCAATTGTGGCCACCTGTGTCCAAGAAGGGTAGATTCAGGCTGGAATATGTGCAAGGAAGAGCTCTGCAGTGATGAGAGGTGAGGATGGTCTGTTTTTCTACTGTGGACTGAAAGAATTTGGCTTGTTTAATTTAGCAAAATGAGACTGAAGAAGGAATATGTTTTCTGCCTATAAATACATCCTGGAAAGTAAATGCAAGCAAAGGGAAAGGTGTTGTGACACTGAAGGGCAACCGCAGAAGAGTAAATGAGTAGGAACTGTCCATGAATATATTTAGCTGAGAAATCGGAAGATCCTTCCAGTAGGAGTAACAGAGACTAAAAAAAGAAAAGTAACTAGTTTTAACACATAGCTCCAGAATTTTATAAAGGAAATTGCATACCAGTGTGAAACAACAAACAGTTGGGATGAAAGCCCTTGAAAGGTTTTCCAGCCCTGATCATCTCTCCTTGGAAAGATCTTGTCCATTTTGATGCGTGGTACACTATGTTCCTTCCTGCATCAGGCGATGAGTCACGGATACATGACTCCGTGGGTGGCCAGAAGTGATATCTCCACCGCTTACATATTAATTCCTGATTATCCCATGATGTTCTCCAGCTCCTGCTCTCTCACTTATCACACAGCAGAGATGTGTGATAAGCCACATTCAAGCACCCCATGTACCCCTCAGTTCTTTGGTACCCACAGCCACCGTGGCATGGATCACTTCAGCCAAGGACATGGGAGAGATGCTTTGCCTCTTCAACTGACAAAAGCTGCAGCTCTGCTTTGTTGTAGCACTGGCTAGAAGAGTCATCAGCCAGAGCCTGTTTCTTTTCTTAGCAAACATTATGTATTTTTAAAGGGTTTTTTGGAAGCTGTGAGAGCCAATCACATCCATGTTGGGATCTCTCTTAACTCATACACTTGAGAGGAGAAAGCTTTTCTCTGAGCTAAGCAGTGACCTGCGCTTCCACCACACTAGAGGCACTAGTGCCTGGAGGTCCAGGTAACCAACCTCTGGTGACCTTTAGATCTGCAAGTATTTATAAAACGTGTTTAGCAAGGGTTTTTCCCTTGGAGCACTAGGAGCTGATCTCTCTGTGCCTTGCATTTCATGCTTTTTCTGTTCTTCAGAAGCACCAGTGAAACACCAGGAAGGGGAGGCGTGTTTGGTACTCCAGCAGTACCCATCAAACCACAGCGTGGGATCACAACCTTCTTGTGATGGTTGGTTAAAGGCTTTTTTTTGTCCTGATCAATACACTAATTGAGCTGTGTGGTCTTCCATCTCCCAGGCATTTATTCAGATCAGGAGAACAAACACTATATATAAAGAGGTATGTAGAGTTGTGTAAGTCTGGAACTACCTCATTTGAATAACTGGGGGATGGATCCAGCTGAGTGTTTGGTGCATGTGGAATACCATGCTACCAGTACAGATAATTACACTTAATGGGGGTTTACTTTAAGCAAAGTAGGTCGGAAAAATGACATCTTATTGTGTCATTAGTTTCCATCAATTACTTCCATGTTGTTTGCTCAGTTCCTAAGTCAAACGAGTGTGGGCTGACAGCCTTGCAAGCTCAACTTGGTATTGTCTCTAAAAATCAAACTGCATTATTTCTGCCTCATGCATCATCACTAACAATAAAGCATCCACTGCTGGAATATAGCAGGTGGCTTTGTTATTCATGCATGAAGCAGAAAAGACTCCCGCTTCCTTTGCCACGACATTGAAGTCTGCAGTATTAAAAGTTGGACATGTTGGTAAACTTTCTAGTAATTGTGTGAGCTTAACTTAGAAGACACAGGTGGGTCTGTCCTGTTGATGAA